AGTCAGGGTGGGTGGCAACGGATATGAAAAGAGTCGTTGCTGGGCGGTGGGTCCTCCGCCCACTTTCGTAGCTTCACGAAGAGGAAGCAAGAATTCATGGAGGAGGGAATGGGGGGCGGACGAGGGGAGGGGAGGGGGGGGGGCAAAAGGGAAGGGAAAAGGCAAGAGAGAAAGATAGGCAGAGAAACAAATAGAGAAACAAAAACATGAACGCAAGCAGCGGAACGCTCCATCCTCCCGCTTCCGCCTCTTCCTATACTTATCATGCTTCGCGTCGTGACAAGATCGTTTCGCCTTTTGGAAGCGGTTGATACTGGCGAATCGGGATATCAGGGCGGGAAGGAGTCGGGGTGTGAACTCTGGTGACAATTGAATGCACAGACGGCCCCATGGCTGTCCAGTGGTCGGCTTCGCGTTGACGATCGCGTCAACCATCCGCATGTTCATCCAACAAGAACGCTCAATGTTTGCAAGATGGATAATGTCAACCCTTACCAAATGGATTATTCACAAGTCAGAAGTTGGGGGGTGAGAACGAAGTGGAACGGAGAACCCCCCTACCAGGAAATCGATTTGGGTTTTGTGTTCGTGCCGCGCGTGCGGGCGAGGCGAAGCTGCGTGGCCGGGGGAAAGGAAATTCTTCTGTGGCTGAGCCGCGGCTGGACCAAAAGGTTTTCCGCCCGGCAATCGGTGGCCCGCGGTGTCCCGCCGGTGTCCCGCTGGTGTCCCGCTGGTGTCCCGCTGGTGTCCCGCTGGTGTCCCGCTGGTGTCCCGTCGTGGCTGGGCCGCGGCCGGACCAAAAGGGTCCCCGCCCGGCAACCAGTGGCGCGGGGTGTTCCGCTGGTGTCCCGGTGGTGTCCCGCCGGTATCCCGTCGTTCTCTCATGGTGTCCCGTGGTGAAATCGACAGTGAGACCGATAGTGGGATCGATAATGGAACCGATAGTGAGATCGATATATGATAAGACATCGATAGTGAAATTTATACTGACATCAATCGTGATATGGGTGATGAGATCGATAATGAGATCGATAGTGAGATCGATCGAGGGGGATCGATAGCGAAATCGAGGGGAATCGACAGTGATATGAACAGTGAGATCGAAAGCGTGATCGATAGTGAGAACGATAGAGAGATCGATAGCGAGATCGATACTGGGATGGATAATGAAATCGACAATGAGATTCATTGTGTCCTGTCGGTGCCCCATCGGTATCCCGTCGGTCTCCCGTGGCTTCACGTGCTGAGATCGACAGTGATATCGATAATGATATCGATAATGATATCGATAGTTAGATCGATGAGACCGATAGTGAGACCGATAGTGAGAACGATAGTGAGACCGATTGCTGGCCGCCTCCCCCCACCCGCAAGGTGGTCGTATAGGTAAATATATCCGTTTTCTTGGCTTCCGTGTGCGAGGGCTGGATGCGCATGTGGCCGCATGTCTTTTCAGCGCTCGGCCGTGCGGTGTGGTCATCATAAGCGTGGGTGGTCATCATAAGCGTGTGCGGTCATTGTCATTACCCTTACACTTCCTTCTCTCAATTTCACCGCTCATATTTGATCTCTGCGAGAAGGTTTCGCGCGGTTGCTCGCGATACGTCAACGTGTTTTTGCTGGCAAACCCTGGAAATCCAAACAGGCTACACAGGCTACGGCCGCGACGAACACAGGCCGAGAAAACCGGTCGGCACATATGCTGTCCATCATTCGCAACATCACAAAGATCAGTAAATTGTTACGCGTCGCCTCATTTTCAAGCTCCGCTGTTCGCCACAAGTGGCCCAAACCCCCAAGCCCACAGAACTACGCCAGCTGCTTGCTGGATCTAAACAAACCCGGCGCGGCACTAGATATACCAAGGGCAATCGATCAAAGTAATTGTCGAAGGCACTGACGGCCAAGTCACCAGTGAGAAGTTGCAGCTTCCCACCAGCCACCAGCAAACCAATCATCAAATTTGATGCGCTTGTGTTAGTCGGAGTTTCTGGTTTGCCCATGCGAGCGTTCCGACACATGAATGTTACACAGAAAACAAGTGGATGCTTGACTGCGTTCTTGGCTGGAGCGGGGAGTTCGAAGACGAAACCAAAACTATAACAAAAAATGCGTCAAATAATATCAGTTAGCGTTGACTCCAAATAGATGGGAGGACAGGAGGAGGACGGGAGGATGATGGGAGGAGGAAGACAGGAGGAGAGCAGGACGGGAGGAGGACGGGCGGAGCAAAATCAAGCAAGCGGAAGGAAGCAAGCGGAAGCAAGCAAGCGCAAGCGAGCAATAACAAGCAAGCACCAGCCAGCATTCAAGCGCAAACAAGCAAGCAAGGGCAAGCAAGAGCAAACAAGAGCAAGCAAGGGCAAGCGATCAAGTGCAAGCAAGCAAGGGCAAGCAATGGGTGCCATTGGCAATAAGGGGGGGAGGGGGGGCCCTTGGAAAAAGCGAGGGAGAGGAGAGGGGCCACCGGAAATAACGGGGCGCCATTGGAAAAAAGGGA